TAGGCCCGAAACGTCAGCCTCTCTGCTCCTATGATGCTGCTTGGCCTACTGTGTTCATCCAGCCCTGCACCTTGTTGTCTCTGGCCTACATGTGACTCTAGATTACAGTTAACTACAACACAATTGGCAAAGGCTTCGAAAGCCACCCAAGCAAGGATAGTTAGAGATAGGTTGCCAAAACCATTGATGCCCACGTCTCATGCAAGAATGAAAAGAAACCTCAAAGGTCAGTAATTGACAGCCTCGTGGACTATGGATCAACGATTAACAACAACTTTTATTTCTGATATTCAAACCAGGATTGCCAATTTGGGCATGTGGACTGGCAGAAAGCTAACCAATACAAACTAATTAATACAAAGCTGTCTATCAGACCTGTATTCTAAGCACCTTTCTTTACAAGCAACAAGGCATGGACAAGTTATGCAAGCCAAGAAAAATTGCTGAATAGCTTCCACATTTGCTGAAAAGAGAACCTGTTAGAAGGAAAAATCATCAGCCAACTTAGGCCAATGCTATTCATCTGTGCCAGCTGTGGAAAGGACTGCCACTCACAAATCAGCATCTACAGTCACAACAGATGATGTTCAGTCCAGGAACGAAGTACACACTAGGCACAGTTCAGCAGCCCATTACAGCCAATATGCCTTGTACATTCTGCATTAGATAAGATCAACGGTTATAGTCATCCTGCTCACAGAGCCCTTTTTCTTTTGGTCAGAGGAGGAGGGAGAGTAGGAAACACCATTGCAGTTAACCATACCATGATACCAGGTTCTCCTTGACCTGCTTACAGTCATAATTACTGTTGCGATATCCCCCAGAATCCCACTGTGATGACTCTCACCCACCCTTTGATTCACTGCCCTTCTTCGCCATCTCATGGAAGGTGTCCTGCAGAAGGCTCCTGTACAGTCGTGATGACTGTGGTTATGTCTCCCAGAATTCCACTGTGATGACTCTCAGCTGCCCTCTGATTCTCTTACATTTTCTAAGTGCTGAGCCACTGTTGAATTGATGCCACACAGCACCATAGTTGCGGGTTCAATTCCTCCCTCAGGTGACTGTCTGTGTGGAGTTTGCATGTTCTCCCCATGTCAGAGGGGGTTTCCGTCCACAGCCCAAAGATGTGCTGGTTACGTGGATTGGCCATGCTACATTCCCATGGTGTCCAGGAATGTGCAGGCTAGGTGG